ATGAGGGAATTACTATTATAAATTGTGAACAGTTATACTGTGATAAGTTGCACACACTCCTGAGAAATGTCGTAGTACAGAGATAATTGAATGGAAATGCTTTCTATACGTAGAGAGCCAATTTTTTTTTTTTTTTTTTTTACGATGAATAATACCAGTATTAATTACTAATCAGATTAGATGAGTTAAATATAAAATATATAACAAAAAACAAGTACAAACATAATAATAGAATGTTAAGAACAAATAGATTCTATTCAGTGCAATAAATGAAAAAAAATTAACTAATATAAGAATGTAACTTATTATAAACATTGGTAAAATGAAATGAAAAATGTTAGGCCGAATATATATTAAGTCATCTGCGTTATTCAGCACTTAAGAAAATAAGGAATATTAGGCACCTTAATTCATCTCTTTAAACACTAAGCAATTAACACTGTTTGTTATTAAACTATGCAATGCGTGTGGTATAATTAATCAATTACAGAAGCAAGGAGAATGAGACGCGGGGGACGAAAGAGTAAAAAGTCCTACCTTGGTAGCAGTACTTCTTCCGTAAGTTTAGACAATCTCCAAGAGAGAAAATTCTCAATTCTTGTTAAGAAAAGAGTGCGAAAACAATGAAACACTAATCTTATCACACAATATAGAGTCTGTACAAGCTGTTACTAAAATCAAAATTTCACCAAAAGCACTAAAATTGAAGTAGATGACCGATAGAGATGCAAAGTTCACTTTTAAAGTACTCTGGAAGAACTTGAGAGGGAAATTTCTCTGTCCTGTTTCCGTTTTCTAATTGAATAAAGAGTGAACTGCACAATTGAGGAATATCCACTGTCGTAAAAATCGCAAACGTAGTGGGAGAGGCTCTTTGTTCGTAAGGGGGGGTCCTGGGGGGAGGGAAGGGGAACGTTGTAGATTCCTTCCTTGTGGGGATTGCTGCATTGGGATTTCCTCCAGGGTAGAAAGGAGAAAATAAGCCAAATTTTATATTTTCTGAACTATTTGACGGAGAATCTTTTAATTTAGAAATCCTTAATCGTCATTTTCCGCTGATTGTTGTCATCTTTTTTTCATGAAAAAAAGGGCTGTAAAAACTGGAGAAACTGCCTGATGAAGAAACCACTAGTACCTTTTGTTATCACCAGCTTTTCTTATCTCTTTGGAGCTCTTTGTCATAGTTAGCAATACGTTCAGGGATGAAACCGTACTTTTTCCTGCAATTTCACAGATGACTCATCACACCACGTGCTAGCTAAATAATCTTACGTAATTAACGTAATAATAATCTGATCACTACGAAAATAGTTCCAAGGAATACCTGACACAATTGCGCGTCCGGTGATATAAATCTTGAGAGTAAATGATGGACTAAAAAGCCATGTTGTTCTTCCCTTGCATGAACAATGGCGGACACACAATGGGCTCCCACGAGTAAACTAGAAATTAATTAATAACTTTTTACGTATGGATGATACAGGCTTAATCCATATATCAAAACGCATGTCTTGGCTTCCTCAATAGTATGGTATGATTTACTCAACCTAATTATGAGGACTTACGCGAAAAATGGCGAATATTGAGGAGCGTGAAACAGCGACGCAAACTTAGTAGAAGTAGTCATATTCACTGAACCTGGGGCTCCACGTGCCGAAGGTTAATTAGATTGATACCCACCATAAACTTATCGCGTGTACGCTCCCAACCCGTTCAGACTGGCATACAGTCGGTCCCTGCCGAGCCTACGACTGAGGATGGACCTCAGGTTCTAGTCCTGTGAAGCCTGATAATCTACCCGGAGAATCGAAGCTGTCAGGACACAAGTCCAGCCAGTGAGCTGGTAGAACCCCGGGTCTCCTCCCATAAATGGTCGGTTCCGGAAATCCACACCAGTCGATCCCCCGGCGATGGGTTGCCCAGCGTCATTAGCCTATGCGGACCTAGGAGCAGGCCACGGAACAGCATAGTTTCCAGCGGGGCCACGAGGAGGCTGACGCTGAGCTGTGGGAGACGCAAGCAGGCGCACCTGAAGCCATTCCCACAGTCCCTGCCCATCGATCAAACGGCGGGTCTCCTGCCTTCCACCACTGCCTGCGAGCCACGGACAGAACGCCTACAGTGGCTTTCAGCCGGTTCCGGACATCCGACCCCCGGGTCAGGGATCCGGCAGTTCGTTCCTTGGATCTAAAGCCGGGTCTCCTCCTGCTGTGGCGCAGTCGGTTCCGGACATTAGTCCTTGGGGGACGAACGCCACCCGCCTCATATATTATACAGTCTACCTCTGACGAAAATTTCTGCAACAGTCTTTAATCGCCAGCCGTTACTGGGGAATTCCTAAAGAACACGGGCCCACCAGTGGCCGAGCGGTAAAGTCGCTGAACTCTGGTAGTTCGCTCCGAGGTTCGAATCCCGCGAACGGGCTGGCTGCATGGGCGTTTTCGTGGTTTTCCCCATGTGTAACGTGTATACGAGCCAGTTTCCCTTAGAAATTCCTCCACGAAGGCATCCCTCTTCTTAGGCAGATAGCCCTCGAGGCTTTGCCATAATCACACACACACACACACACACACCTAAAGAACACGGTTATTCAGAATCGGCGCTAAATCACATTACTTGGCCGGTAACATGTACGTATCAAAACGTTTTTTCTAGTGGCGGTTTCTAGCCCTTTATGGGCCTTGGATACTGAGGGCGGAAGCAGTGGTTTGTTTACTATGGAGGCACCTAATAGGAGGACCACTGTTGCCTTCTATGAAGGGATGAATAAATTACATCCATGTCTTCTCTGGAATTCGAACCCGGACTCTTCGGTTTGGTTTACTGAGATTACGGCAAAGCACATTAGGGCTATCTGCCTAAGGGTAAGGATGCCTTTTAGAGGAATTTCTAATGAAACTAACTCATATGCACGTTATCCCGAAAACGCCAATGCAGCCAGCCATTTCGCCTGGAATTGAACCCAGTGATACTAAATATCCCTGAACTACCAGTTCAATGAATTTACCGGTTAACCATGGATGGATTCGCGCTCTTCGGTGCAGCAGTTAGAGTCACTAATCACTTCGCCATCTGGGAACTAAGTATCAGATCTAAATACGCAAAATTGTAAAGAATAAAAATAGATGAAAATTTCAGAAGTGCTTTTATAATACACATATATATAAAATTTAACATACATTATGGGATTGACATCAGCTTTATACAATGAAGAGCCAAAAAGTTATTAGCGCCTAAACAATAACGCGTTGCGCGACCTTTTAACCTGAAAAACAGCTGAAACTCGTCTTGACATGAATGTCACAGGCTCTTGGTAGATGACTAGAGACAGGTTTTTACCAGATGCCTAAGCATCGGTCAGGCAAAGTCGAGGTATTTCGACATAGTGGTTGAGCTCTGACCTGGCATTTCATGATATTCCAAATGAGCTCTATCCGGTTACTATTCCGGCGAGTTAAGTGGCCAGGACATTAACTGAACTTCATCCTTATGTTCCTCGAGCCAGTCCAACACAGTTCGAGCCTTCTGACATGGGACGTGGTCCTGGTGGAGGATTTCATTGCTAGTTGGGAAGACAGACGCCCTGTAAAGATGCAACTGATCCTCAATTACGTTCAGATAGTAAGCAGGTTTCATGGTCTAATCTACAACTAAATGTTCCAGAGCCATCCATAAGAACTTCCCCCAAAGCAGAATCATGCCACAATCAGCCTGTGTATGACCTATTGTAGAGGAAGGAACAACTGTTCGCCTGGAATACGGCGTATCCTGATACGATCATCGAGTGATGAATACGAAATCGGGATTAATCCGACCAAGCAATTGTCTTCCACTTATCCATGCTCCAGGTTCGATATTCTCGAGCCCACTGTAGGCCTAATTGGCAATGTCGCTTGGTCAACACACACGAGTGGGCGCATGCTGCACAATGCCATTTCCAACAGTGTCCTCTCTATATGTTCCGAGACACTTGCACTTGCACCTGCATTGTATTAGATTGTCAGTTGAACCAGTATCTGGCGCCGAATTTACTGTACCAAGCTGGACAATCTGCGACGTCCGTTTTCTTTGATGACGTGTGAACATCACATACCATGGCGTCTACTGTTGGTTTCACTGTCGTTTATTCATTCTATATAAAAACTAACAACGGCAGACCATGAACAACCTATCAGTCGTGCAGATTCGCAGATCGAAGCAGCTCGAGGTTTCGGGAAATTATAGTTTGCCCTCTATGAAATTCACTTAGATCAGCAGTCATATCCTTTACTCACAAATGTAAGTACAAGAATGATTGCTTACCTTCTTCAGCAGTAGGTAAATACCTTTCCCACTTAGTCATGTGCCTTTCAAGTCACCCAGACGAGTTCATTGAAAAATGAGGGGACTGTCATATGGTTTTTCCCGTCAGTGTGTGTGTAAACATATATATATCTGAATATGAAATAAATAATGTATTTATAACCAATTCCATAATCGATTGGGAATAAACTATATGCAAAATCCAAAAACGAGAAGCATTACGGCAAACTTCAGATCCAAAAGTAAAAAAAGAAATTTACATCTTTCACCGCATGTTCATCAGGGAAATTGGTAAAAAGAACAAAATAATTAGACGATGTATGAGAAAACAAAGACGCAAATAATTATGAAAAAAGTTTAAAAATTGTAATTTAAAATTATTTATTGCTTGCGCAAAAAGCTAAAAAAGGCCTTTAAAAAATAGATTTTCTGATATATTTTTTTTTCATTTTTAGTAAACCAACAGCTCATGTATTTATCATTTTTAATTTTCTTTCCCAATAATATATTTTGGGGGAAGGGAAATTCTGGTATAATACATTATGATAGAAGGGTCGTAATAAATATTCAAGTCTCAGCGCCATACACTTATTTAGACGCTTCGGCCCTAAGTTTAACACATCGTTCTACAGCTTGGCGGTCATAAGGAATGATCTGAAACTTGTGTTGCAACGATGTGTCAGTATTTAGTACAATTTTTATGTGGAGTCGGTGGGATGTTGGTATTCATGCGAACAATTTTCTGTGCCGGCGCATCTTCTTCCGCGTTGTCTGTGGGGATTGTGGTGATGTTCGTTGAGGATTGTGGTGGCTGTATTTTGTACTGGATTGTCGTTGATTGTATTTGGTGGCTGCATGAAGATTTGAGCTGGCTGATATATTTTACTTGAGGCTAGCTTGTGGAGGATACCATACGGATTGCTGTTTTCGGTGCAAAATTTCCTCCAACTGGTAATTTTGGCCGCTAGTATGTTGTTTTTGTAAAGAGCTCGCTCCTTGCGGAATGTCGCCAATAGTTCGGATTTCCTGTCTTCATTCATTGGTGGTGGAACGTATGCGGCGTCTGATAGCTCTGCATTTTTGCCGTTGTTGTCTGAGCTCTTTCGTCCACCACTTAACTCCTTGTATTTTCTTCGCTGCGCGTGTATGGGGAGTAGTTCACTACAGGCTGCTTTAAGGTTTTCAAGTAGTCGGTCTGTGAAAATCTCCATGCCTTCTGGGCTGTTGTGAAGCGCAAGGTTGTTTTCCTCATTATTTAAGATGCGTGTGAAGGAGCGACTGAGGGGGCGGATCTTGTTGCCTGGAAGCTTGTACCTACGTAGGACTGTGATTTTCGTGTCACAGTTTATGAGAAAGTGAAGGTATTTGTGATCGGAGCAGCTCTCATCATCGACCACAGTCCAGTACAGGACTGCGATGCTGCTTGAACAGAGGGTGAGATCTGGCCAGCCCACATGATAGGTATTATCAAATGTAGGTGGGGAATCGGGTGTATTTAATAGATCAATGTTTTTGGCTGCCAAAAAGTCGTCGAGCTCCTGTCCCTTCGTCATAGTATCTGCAAATCCCCATATGGTGTTATGCGCATTAAAATCACCACTAAGAAGCAGAGAGTTTGGAGGGCATCGTTGTATGGTGTCAAGTATGTTTGAGGTGGTGTCAGTGATACTGTCCGTTGGGGAAGAGTAAATTGAAGCTATTATATACTGTGCGTTATTGAATGCTAGTAAGATGGCAACAAAGTCTCGTTCTTGCTTGATGACTAGTAGAGACCAGGATGGACTGGTGCATGCTTTTGCGGCTCTGGGGGATTGTTCATTAGTTTCTGCTTTATGTTGATAGACTTTCCACGATATGGCAAGGCTTGCTACTTGACCTTCTCTACAATAAGGTTCCTGTATCAGGAGTAGATCTTCATCGTGGGATGTTGCGTGAGTGACTGCTTGAGATGTCGCTGCCTCGCTCTTTGCAGATTAATCTGGACGCATTTTATGGGGCAAAATGTTACTTGGTTGTTGTGGTCTGTAGGCACAGATTGATGAATGTGCTATTACTCATAGGTTGTGCTGCGTTTGATTCTTTCAACGTACCTGCTGTAGGTGGAACAGAAGATACCATAGGCGGGGTGGGGGCAGGATATTTTGTTGTTAACCTGCGGGAAAGCGCGTGGGGTGTATCATACCCCAACCCTACATAAAAGTGGAATATTCCTAACTTGTGAAACTGAAATTCTGTGCTGTAGCTGAGTTTCTTATTGTGGTTGACGTTTAGAACCGCTTTTCTTTGTCTGCGGGTTTCAGAAAAGGATTTATCGGTATTTTGTTGGAACCTGGGGTATGACACACCCCATGCGCCTGTTCGCGTAAGTATTTTTCTGTCTGAATATTTAGTTCAGAAATTTATTTCTAGACTGTAACAGTAAATATTTATACTCGCAAGTGATTTTAAAGTACTTGACATTAAATTCTTAAAAATTTCTAACTGCATTATGATAAAAAGAATGACTCCCTATAAATTGGAGATGCAACGCCTGTGAGATTTACCACAAATATTTGAAAGCGATGAAGATTGCATTTCGGAAACTGAAGATGAAACTAGGAATATTTTCTATATTGTTTTGGTTTCGATAAGATAAAACATTAATTCCTAATGTTCCTAAAAAAAGGAAAAACTGTTCTTATGCTTATATAACGATCATACTATAGATGATACTATTGGAGAAAATAAAACGTCAGGAATTATATGTTTTTATAATATGACTAAAGGAGTAGAGGATATGGGGGATGAAATGTAGCCAAATATTCAATTGCCAGAATAACCAGGAGGTGGCCAATGGTAATTTTCTTTCCTGCGCTGAAGGTTGCTGTAATAAATGCTTGAATTATATTACATTCAACCGCTAATCCACCAACCAGAAACAGAAGTCTGTTTCTGAAGGACGTGACATTACAATTAAAGAAAAAAATTATTGAACAAAGAATCAGAGATTAATACTTTGCCAAGAAACTGAACGTACTGCATGCAAAACAAAAGCAGAAGTTTCGTTGAAGAATTAAAGCGAATACATGAAATTCGAAATAACTAAGTATGAAAGATGTGATAAATTGCCCTCGCGCCAAGGACAGAAGAACGTGAATGCAATGATTAAAATGTGAAAACATTCTGTGCCAAAAACACACGAATGAATTTCGTTCAAAGTGTGAAGAAATAAAATAAGCATTGTGTATTAGAGATGCAATGAAACTTAGAGGCAGGATGTTTATTTTTTTATTAATCTTAACTCTAAGATTATTTTGGAAATTTGTAAGGATCTTAAGTTTTACTAACGTTTATTTTTATTTTAAATCTTTACTATCACTTCTTATTTTCTACTTCCGGCCAGAATTATAAGCGTTAAGGTTTTTATGCAAAGTTTGTCTGGCTAACGCCAAGTATTTAAGTTGTGGCCTTTTGCCAAGCGAGAGAGAGGAAGCAGTGAGTCAAAGCAGGCCGCTTACCTTAGAAGTTACGCAGTTGCTTGTTGCCTTCCAGGCCAGAGGTTTTAATCCTCTTGATAACTTTTAAACGTATTGTAGTGTTCTCAGTTATCTGTACTACATACGCCTTCCTGTTAATATAAGGCCAATCTTCCACGTTTATTATTCTAAAGTTAAATTAGAGTTTAGTTTTTTTTTATTTTATACTTTTACGTTAGACCCCGAGTAGCGGGTCGGTGTATTCCGAAGTACGGAAGTTATTGTATATAGAGAAAAAATAAAGGGTTTTGTATACCCTTCATGTATATCCTGTCTACTTACCACAATTAGTGAACATAGCTTTAGTAAGCTCTCTGTTCCGAGTCAGGTCCTTGTATGTTTCCCGAAGAAGGTAAGAAGGAACATTGACCCTGATAAATTAAGTTTGAAACCAATTATATCATATTTAATAAAGACAGAAAACACTTAAACTAAAAACAATTTTACGTATTTAATTGTAGTGTCCCACGCGCCCACTCTAGTAACTTTTCTTAGTGCGACTTCCGCCGGGTTAATTCTGTAGTTATAGTCTACACAGTTGATGCAGGTGGCCATCCCGGATTTGTAGTTCTTGACGTTGTGGCTTCCGGAGCAGTAAGCACAATAGACTTCGTTCTTGCAGTCTTGCACCGTGTGCCCGAATGCCTGACACTGGAAGCATTGTCTGGTGTTGAAGAATTCCGCAATTCGGTGCACTTACCAGCCAAGATACATTCTGGGGTATTGCATGATGCGGTGGAAGGCTGATAGCTGACATTCCAGCACCCATTTGACGCCATTTGCTTTATCTTTTATCTTTTAGCCGGTATAAGACTTTTGTAGTGCTGCTGGTAAGGTTGTGTTCAGAGCCTAGTGCCCGTTCAATGTCCTCCTTGGTGACGTCTAGTTTTACGTCGTGGATTGCGACTCTAGGTAGTAGTCTGACTGCTGGCAGTTTTGTTTTGGCAAATTGTTTCCTTTGCCTTGCGTGCTTGCTTTCTAGTGTCTTTGTGAGGTGGGTGAGATCCTCTTTGGTGGCGCAGTCAACAGCAATCCCCTCCTTCTGGATATTTCTAACTGAGTGTATTTTTACACCTAGTGATGGGAGAGGGAATTTGGCGTTCAGGTGTTCCTTTAGTACTTTCCTTGTGGCGTTCGAGTCTTCTTTTGGGTAAATAAGAAGTGTGTGTTTCGTAGAATGTGATGCCACTTGCGCGTAGGAACGCTCGATAACCGGAGCTGCTGCTGGGTGTATTGTTGGTTGAGGTGGAGAGTAGGAGAGTCCTGAATCAGTATTAACACCTGTGTTGGTTTTAGCTGGAGGTGGAGTGGCAGCAGGTCCTCTGGTGGCTAGAGTCCGGAAGGCCTCTAAAATGGCCAATAGTTTCTTTCTTTGCTCTGTCGGTAACAGGTACTTGTTACTTTTTTGTACTGGTGCCAATGTCTTTGGCTTTCTCGTAGAGTGTATTAATCTTTTGTTCGTAATTAAGACTTTCAGTTAATACGATTGTTGCTGCGTGCGTCGAATTTGCAAAGGCGCACTGACGCTTCTGCATCAGGCATAGTGCTGGTTTGTGCTGGAAGGAATATGGGTGATGATGAAGTTGAGTATAGCAATCAAGGGGTATTTTGGTGTATTTACCAGTGTAGAAATGCCGCTAGATAAGTTGCATGTAAGTTGTATAAGTATACATAAGCACTGGTCATACACTGCTCGATCAGGATAGTGGGAATACTCTGCTCAATCTGGGAAAGTGACAAGTAATGCAAGTAATACTCTGCTCAATCAAATATGACAGGTAACACACTGCTCAATTAAAACAGTAGCAGTAGAGCTGTACACTTCTTAATTAGTAAAGATCAATTAAAAGTCTATGGGCCGTATAATAAAGGTATAGAACATAATATCACACAGAATACAAGCACTGAAACTATTCTCTGTATAAAAATTAAATTCAATCAAATTATTATTATTAGCTAGAAGTATAATAACACAAAATATCAGCATAAATACTTAATTAGCTAAATTATTGTAAGCCAGAATTATATAATTATACAACACACATTAGGGGGAAAACTTGATTAATTAAATTTTTGTAAGCTAGAAATACATTACACAAGATACTAGCACTTACTGATATATAAACACTCACAGATATAAGTATGGTTAAAATGTATAAAACAGGAAAATATACAAGATACGATCACTGAATCAAATATGACTCAAATATAATGAATCACTGAATCAAATATGACTGAATTAAATATGACAAATACTCTGCTCAATCAAATATGGCAGGTAACACACTGCTCAATTAATAAAGTAGCAGTAGCGCTGTACACTGCTTAATTAGTAAAGATCAATTAATAAGTCTATGGGTCGCATAATAAAGGTATAGAACATGATATCACACAGAATATAAGCACTGAAACTATTCTCTGTATAAAAACTAAATCAATTAAATTATAGTTAGAAGTATATAACATAAAAGATCAGCATAAATACTTAATTAGTTAAATTATTGTAAGCCAGAATTATATAATTATAGAACACACATTAAGAAAAAAACTTAATTAATTAATTTTTTTTAAACTAGAAATATATTACACAAGATACTAGCACTTACTGATATATAAACACTCACAAATATAAGTATAGTTAAATGTATAAAACAGGAAAATATACAAAGATATGATCACTGAAACGAATCCTTGCAAAACTGCTAATATTTAGGAAGATGGTATACAGGATTAAGGAATGAATACGCAGCTAATTTACCAGCTCCTAATTGAACGCACAAAATCATAAGTTTTAAACAGCTATTATTACCCTGATGCTATTTAGGTGACTGCTATTGTGTAAATGTAATGCAATCTTAATTATTGCTCGTAGGATTATCGGATATTTTGTTTACCGGATAATTAAAACAATCCTACCTTGATTGCAGGGCTTCTTCTGCGCTTCCTTTGTTCTCTATGAAGTAAACACAATAATATTTATTAAGCACTAATAGTGCTGAGTACTACACACACACACGCTGTAGAACACTGTATTCGCACAACACTATCATTATATCACTAATTAGCTCACACTACTTACGTTAATTGTTGGTTTCAGCTGAGAAAACCGAAGTTTAAAGAACTAGCAAGAAAAGTTATAGAAAACGTACAATCCGGCGGACTTTTCCAAATTCTGAGTCTTGTTCCTGATTCGTACTGCTACGTCACACTGCTATGTGGATTGCTCTTTTCAGCTGGGAAATCCTTGGTCGTTTATCTTCTATGTATTTCATCTGTTGAATTAGGTAATCCAAAAGCGAAGGCACAACATAATTAGAACAGACCACTATAACGCACTACTAAGCACTGCACTGTAAGGACTGATGTCAACACACTCACCATGATACGCACTACGCTGTAAGAACTGATGTAACACACTAAGATCAATAAGTGAGCTTTAAAAAGAGCGTAATTTGCGAACTACTAGTCAGAATTTTATCAGATAAAGAAACTTGGATCCGTCTCGATGTGCAGAGATCAAAGATGCTAACCCTCTCTAGCAACAATCATCTCAGCCCCAGGCAGTATGGCTTTCGCACTGGTCTGTCCACTACGCATGCCCTCTGCAAAATTCGTGAAACAATTCAACGCAATAGCACCACAGTTTTCCATACAGCTTTCATATCCATTGACCTCCAGAGTGCGTTTGACACACTTTGGTGGCCAGCGATAAGACAGGCCCTCCGAGACGCACAGTGTCCAGCCAAACTCTTCAGCGTTTTTTAGTAGTTATCTAGAGAATCGTAGTCTTCTCATAGCCATCAACAACGACACTACCTTCAAAGTGCAAGAAAGAGGATGTCCCCAAGGCTCTTGTGCTGAACCGATTCTCTGGAATTTAACATTCAACGCTGTACTGGATGCAAACTGGCCACGACATACAAGTGTCATCGCCTACGCAGACGACGCAGCCTCTTCTTGTCAAAGGTCGCACTCGTGCGGAGCTCGAGAAAAAACGGCACCGAAGTCTGCTCCCTCCTCGCCAATATCTGCAGCAACTTAAAGCTTACAATCTCTACCGCAAAGTCCCAACGTGCCGCCCCTCCATAAAACTATAAACTATAAGGAGCTAACATAAAGATTGTCCAAACGCTAAAATATCTAGGTGTAATCTGGGATAAAAAACTAACCTGGATCCCTCATATCCAAGAACCAAAGAGAAAAACATCAGGTATAGCCAGAAAGGCACGCGCCTTCCAAGGTAGAAACTGGGGTCAGAATCATCATATTCAGAAGATATTCTACCATGCGGTAGCTGAAAAAATAGTCTAGTGTGCTGTTGCCGTATGGGCCCAAGAGATGGGAGGACGAAAGATCAAACATCTTACATCTCTTCAACGACCATTCGCCCTGAATCTCTGTAAAGCGTACCGTACCACAGCCACGAGCTCAGCGAGAGTCCTCGCAGGGCTCATTCCACTCCACATACGGGCAGAACAAGAGGCAGTCTACACCACCCTTATATACCTCCGAAAAGATGCAACGTTTGGCAACATAACATACAGCTCTATGAAATTTCAATGCCCTGGTACTCTTCACACTCATCCCGCACGTAAAGGCACAGGAATAAGCATTAACATCTCACGGATACAGCCACTCTCAATGACGCGAATTTCAAGGGATACGCAAATATACACCGACGGCTCTACACAAGAAGACGGAGTAGGCAGCGCCTTTGCACACTATGACAAAGGAAGAATCATCCATGTATGGAAAGGACGCCTTGACTTAAACAACATTGTGTTCCAGGCGGAGTTGCAAGCAATTATAACGGCGGTAGATTACATTTTCAATAATAATATAGAACGGGCGAAAATTTTCACAGACAGTATGTCAACACTTCTAGCACTAGATAATCACAACCACACCTCGACCTTGATCATCAACTTACATCAAAGTTTGCAGCGCAACCCGCAGAAACATCTCTCCTTAACATGGATTAAGGCACATGCAGAAAGTGAGGGGAATGAAGCATCTTATAGCTTGCCAAGCCAGCAGCCACTGATCCAGAAGCTGAAAAAAATCACAATCCGAGGCCCTCCTTCCTACCTCAAAGGGGTATTACAGGTTCAAGGCCTAAACCTTTGGAAGGAAGACTGGACGCACTGCACAACTGGAAGACGTACATACAGCTACCTCCCGAAAGTCGGCACTGAACGCAACATTGCAAAAGCTCCTCTTACGGCTTATATTACGGGACAGGCCCATTCCCGACCTACTTCAATAGACATAGCATAACAACCACGGACATATGCGCCTGCGGAGCGGAACGCTCCCCAGACCACTATGTTTTTGAATGCCATTTGACAGCAGGAAATCGCCTCCCTCTTTCCATCAACAATAGAAAAGCTTATCACCGCTTCCTTATAAAGCACAAACCGGCAGTAAATACAATCTGCAAAGTTGTTAACAAGCTCAAGAAAATGGGCCAAGATTTGTGCTCTCTTCATTAACCAAAACACTTAATGCATGATACACTAAGTAAGTCAGCACGCAGTTCCGCATTCTCAGACACATAAGTCTACTCCTAAAACTTACCTAAGTCCCTATTACAGACACTTATCAAATAATGTACAGTCAAATGTTTCCATCATGTATTTAACATTTCTTTTTCTGTATATGCATAATACTTAATTTTTTTAACCTATGAGCCTGTATTTTAATCCTATTATTTTGTAACTGTATTTTTGTATCTGTACATTTAATTTGTATTTTTATTTAAATTTTATTATGAATATGCAAAATTGCTATAGCAAATTGCAACAACAAATACCAAAACGGTAAAACGAATGCAATCTGCCCTTGTATGGCCATGTAAATGCTCCAGTTAACTTCTAAAACGATCCCGAGGCGGCCTCTTGAGGCCTCAAGGAGTTGTTCTTGGGTATTGGAAAGCGCGGGACACATGCCTGTTTACCTCTGTTAGACATCAGGCATCCCCGCCCTCCGTTACCAAACAACCAACCCACCAAAAATTTTTATATCCTCATCCCTAATGTTCCTTAATAATAGAGGAGGGAGATATTGCAATTATCCCACCGAATCTTCTGATGTAGTCTGTGGCTTCGAAGTGACGTTCTGGCATGATGAAGATTCTAATAGTCTTTCTCTTGAAAAGTGATGGAGGTTTAAACATTATGTCTTCTTTCATTTACAATCAATGCAAGTCTAAAGTTTTGGGGATAAGCGAAGAAAGGATTCCGGACAATTCTGCTTGATTACTTGCAGTAAATTTTGAGTTACACATCGCAGTATTTTGATGGCTTCAAAATCTTTTTTTGGACCGATCTGTGAAATTTTCACTGGTTTTTGGTTTTGAACCAGGAAAGCATTGAAACTAAAATATATCATCTGCCTAATTTCATCAGTAGGATTTTATTGAAATATTATATATACATATATAAAGAAACTTAATAAGAGACAAAACATAAAAAACACATTTTTTAAACCCGTCCTGTTGCAGTATTGAAGTAAAATAAACCTGAAGCATCTAAATTTAAAAATAAAATGGAGTCAAAGCAAGGCGATTCTTCAACAATATTGTTACGAATTTGGTATTTAAAAAGCTAATGTTAGTTCAATGATAAATTAAATGGTTTTATTTCTCGCGCAGTGCAGCGCGTGACGAATATTAAAAGAAAGCTAAGCCGGAAAAATTGAAAATACAAGAGCGCGTGCATTAAATAAATAAATATCTCTTTTTGATTTCGAGAAAGTACTGGAAAATTCTAGCGCGTGATTTTAAAATCTTATAAAAGGAGGAAAACATCTCAGTTTGAGGTAGTTGCTTAGTTTGTTGTTGTTTAGAAAACTGCTCTTGTTGATTGTAGCGAATTCACGGATCAGCGTTCTTTAGCTGTTTTGAATTACGTTCTATTGGACATTTGAGTGTTAAAAGATAACTACTGTGAGATATTGTAATACTGCATGATAATTTGAGAACATTTAAGCATTTTTGTTGTGATAATAATAAATTTTTGTTCATTTTTCATCGGACTTGTGCATTCATTTCATAACGAACCCGTACGCACGCAACAATTTTTGGTGGCAGCGGTGGGATTTGAATGCCAATCACAAGAGCGATGGAAGAGCAATTAACAACAGCTGATATCAGCGTTTGCCTCGTTTTAAAGAAGAAATGAAAGCAAGAGATGAAATGTAATCAGGAAAAAGATTGAAGCAGGACAGGAAAAGATTGAAGCAGGACAGGAAAAGATTGAAGCAAGAAGAAGAGATGAAAGAGAATTAAATTACCAGCTTAATAGAAAACAAATTCGAGGTTATGGAAGGCAGAATTGACGCAGTTGAGAATAAAGTTGGAAACTTTGAAGAAAAAGTTTCTTCGGTAAAAGAAGAAATAGAAGAGAGAGTTTCTGCCGTGGAACAACAAATTAATGATAGAGTTTCTGCGGTCACCAAAGAAGTTGATGATTTAAAGAAATTCGTAGCGACGGCAGGTAGCAATCCGGAAGGTTTCAAATTTTTATCGATGCCTGCTCATTCCGTTCTGAAACTATCTACATATGATGGGAAGACCTCCTGGCAGGTGTATAGGACACAATTTTCTATCGTTGCGGATGCGAATGGATGGGATTCCCAAGCTAAGGCCTGTCATCTCGCCGCTTCTCTGAGAGCAGACGCAGCAGATATCCTGCAGACGCTTCCCGAAAATCAAAGGCTAGATTTCGAAGCTCTATCCGGCGCTTTGGAGCTGCGCTTCGGCGAGAAATGAAAAGACTACAGCAGGCTCCAATTAAAATCTCGTCAACAGAAGCTCACCGAAACGCTTCAGGAGCTCGCCACGGATGTTGAAAGGCTGTCACATCACGCTTTTTCGGAGTGCCCGACAGAAACAAGGGAAATCCTGTCCCTGCAATACTTTATCGACGGCATCCGAGATACTGAAATACAGAAAGCTCTTCGAATGGCAGATGTAAAAGACATAAAAAGCGCTCTGTTGTACGCCATGAAGTTCGAGGCAGCCCAGCAAGCAACTAGTAGAGATCGCTACCCAGTTAGAGCTGTGCGAGTCCATGAGCCAGTGGATCAACTGATGGCTCGTTTAGATGATTTAGCCAGACAAGTCGAAGATTTGATACGGAGTAGGAGCGAGAAGAAAGTGGCTCTAAGGGGTTGGAGATGTGGTAGTGAAGGTCACCTAAGACGGAATTGCAGAACACCCCAGGGTACGGAATATAAAGCAGATGATTTTACCAGACAAGTCAGTGGCTTGAGACGGAACAGAAGTGAAAAGAAACTAATTCTAAAGTGCTGGAACTGCGGAGTTGAAGGCCACATACGAAGAAACTGCAGAACACCCCGAGGTACGGAAAATAAGACCATTTCCCAGCAACAACGCAGTGAAAAACCTTGTTTTAAAGCTCTTAAAATTTATACAGTGAGTGGCAACAATAACGGACTGTCCATCAATGGGAATATCGATGGAGTTCCTTGCAGTATGATCATTGACACAGGAGCTAATGTTACCATCATTAGGAAAGATTTAGCTGAACAGTTTAAAGATAAACTTATTTGGACGCCATCCTGTGTTACCCTTCAGACTGCGTCTGGTGACAAGATCGACGTAACTGGGAAGTTAAACGTAAACATCACGTTTGGAAGTGCCGCCTACCATCACGACATATGTGGCGGATATTACAGATCCATGCATACTCGGATTGGACTTTTTAAGGAAATACAATTTTTCCTTAGACTTGAAAAACAACAAACTGCTTTCAGGATCTGAAGACATGACTATCTATCCTAAGAAGGGATCTTTACCTGGAAATGCCGACGCTTTGTCCGAAAGAATCAGCTCGAGAAACAGCCGAAATCATGCTAGGGTCGAAAAGAAACACCAGACTACCAGCTATTCTCCATCTCAGATGCTCTTCGGTCGAGACCTTCGTCTGCCTTGTGACAGCCTGTTTCATCGCCGTACGGATGCGCCTTCATCGCCTGAGGAACACATCCAAGATGTCAAGGCCCGTTTTGAAGTGATGCACCGTTCCGCACGAAAGCGAGTGAACTTGGCGACGGAGAAAGTGAAGACCAGATACAACACGAGAGCTGCTGGACATAGATCCAACGAAGGAGACAAGGTGTGGTTGTGGAACCCAATTCAACGAAAAGGACTGAGTCCTAAATTACAGTCACCTTCGGATGGTCCATATACAGTGCTGAACACGAATGACGTCGTGGTTCGGATCCGTGAGTCTTCGAACTCTTACGACAGGTTAGCTTATTACTATGGCCATAGTATATAATGTAAATAATTGTAAATAGTATCAGACCATGGTCCTTTTTGTTTTTGATTTGATTTGTATTTAGTATTTGATTTGCATTTAGTATTTGATTTGTATTTAGCATTTGATTTGTTTAAGTTAGTTATTGCATTTATTGTTTATATTGTTTGATACTGTAATGTAATGTTTATGCCTCAGTTGCATTTATGCCACAGTTGTAAGTTTAGCTTCCTGTCCAGGGATTGTACTGCCCGGGACGTGCAGTCCTTGGGAAGGGGGCAGTGTTACGAATTTGGTATTTAAAAAGCTAATGTTAGTTCAATGATAAATTAAATGGTTTTATTTCTCGCGCAGTGCAGCGCGTGACGAATATTAAAAGAAAGCTAAGCCGGAAAAATTGAAAATACAAGAGCGCGTGCATTAAATAAATAAATATCTCTTTTTGATTTCGAGAAAGTACTGGAAAATTCTAGCGCGTGATTTTAAAATCTTATAAAAGGAGGAAAACATCTCAGTTTGAGTAGTTGCTTAGTTTGTTTTTTTGTTTAGAAAACTGCTCTTGTTGATTGCAGCGAATTCACGGATTAGCGTTCTTTAGCTGTTTTGAATTACGTTCTGTTGGACATTTGAGTGTTAAAAGATAACTACTGTGAGATATTGTAATACTGCATGATAATTTGAGAACATTTAAGCATTTTTGTTGTGATAATAATAAATTTTTGTTCATTTTTCATCGGACTTGTGCATTCATTTCATAACGAACCCGTACGCACGCAACAATATTAATGATTGCATCTTTGTAAAGAGGTTAAACATAAAATCAAAACATTTCAAAATAAAAATGGTCAAGTAGTACAAACCAGAAAACTAAAAATTCAAAAAGGGAAAATATATATAAGATAAGGAAAATATAAAAATTAATCTGCCTTTATTGAAGCTTTAATTGAGAACACATCAGTGGAAAATGAAATAAAGCTTCATAAAAGTTGATTA